TCCTTGGCAGAGGTCACGCATGAGGGCGTGGCAGGGTCAAGAGGTTGGGGAAAAGCAGTTCCAGCCGAGGGGTGGGGCTGAGAGGCACTAGCAGGCGAGAGATCCTTTTCAGGAGCGAAAGGGCCTCATTTTGCTTTTCAGGCTCCCTCTCCTCTTATGTCGAATGCAAACAGTAACACAAAGGAGTCTGTGAAATAATGGGTGTCCCCACTCATGTCCCCCTGTCCCCAGCACCGAGGGCCGTGCAGATCAGCGTGTCTCTGAGACCCTCCCCAAGGAGGGCCTCAGCACGTAGTGCAAGAAACCATTTGGCCTGGAATGCACACACGATCTCTTTCCCCTTTTACGAGCAGCAGATTAACCCGCCTAATTATATTTGGCATAGGCTAATATTAAAATTCATCTGCCTTCCCTCTAACAGCTGTTGGGGGGTTGGGGAGTCAGAAGCATCCTGGCCAGCCATCCTGAGACGAAAATGTTTGCGGCAGATAATCCGTGCGTGGACCATTGAGAAAGGACTGTGGATACGGTAGGCACGTGTCCAAGCTCCAGCCAGGAAGCCCTGGCCTGTGTTAGATCGTAACACGGTGTAAGCTGGGCACTCGCCAGGTACCCGGGCTGGGAGGGGCGTCTGCCGTGCGTTGAGTGTTGGAGTCCTTTCTGGTCTTCGGTGGGGCTGAGTCAGTCACCACTGGGTTTCCAGTTTGTCTCTTCTTTCAAAGTGGAACGTCAAGCAGGCCTCTCTGGATTGTGTTGAAGGAAGAGGGCCTCTGCCGGCAACGTTGGGGTTTGGTCGGCAGCCTAAACGCAAGATTCCCGAATGATCCACCCCCTCCCCATCATCCCCTTCCCCATCCCAGGCCCCAGGCTCAGTCAAGCCAGAATTTATGGCACGTTTGTTGTGTGGCCTTCCTCCCGTCTGCCGGCGGGGTTCGGTGCAGTTCAGCACACCATGGTGGTCTGTGCGTGGTGCACGCCGTCCATGGTGGGCACCCCCCAGCTATGAGCCAGTGGGGCCCCAGCGCTCAAGAGACATGCGTCGTGGCTGTGTGGCTGTGGCGGGTCCCGTGAGGCCATCAGAAGATCCCAGACAGGACCGCACAGACTGCTGGATGGAATGAGAGTCACCAGCACCCTGCTAGCAGCGAGCACCATCTGTGCACGTTAGACAAAGGGGCCCCCGCTCAGGACACCTTTCATCATCTGTCCAAAAAATGTCACGCACAGTCCACACATCTGTGCTGCCGAGTGCGAGCACGGCGCCTGCCACCGTCGGACGGTCCCCAGCCTGCCTTGCTCGGCCAGTCTTCCCGAGACCCCAGTGCCTCCCCCGCCAAGCCCCGGGGGTAGGGGCTGGCCAGCCGGTTTGCTGGCCGGTCTGTTTGATTCACAGCCCTTCTTCTGATTTTCGGGCGGCGCCAGCTGTCGGCAGCTCGTGCCGGGTCTGCAGCGCTGTCCTGCTGCCTGGGTCGCTGCTCTTTGCCAGGGTGGACAGTTCTCAGAAGTGACCATGGCCCTCCTGGTGTGTGGTCCCAAATGACCCCAGTGTGCCCCTGTGCGCCCACAGGTGGGGAAGGGGGTGGCGGTCTAGACCGGGACCTACGTTGCCACCATTCCAGTGTCCCCTCTCTGTGCCCTGTGTCCCTCAAGGCACCCTCTCCCTTCTCTCTTCTTCCCGTCTTCCTCCCCCCACTTTTTTTAAACTGGGGGAGGGGAGGGGGAAGAGACTGTCTTTGATCTCAGTGGAGGAAAAATGTCTGTTCTGTTCAGGCTTTTGGCTAACACAACAAACAGTGTTTAAAATTTAACTTTGCTTAATTAATTAGTAATTCTGTTTAATGCTGTCTGATCTCCCTCCAAAAGGTATTTTGAAGCTTGAGAAGGGAACATCAAAGGGAGCCGGGTGAAGATGGTCAAGTAATGCATTTAATCTGGCAGTTGCTGGGGGCGGAGCAATGCCAGGCTGGGGCTGACGCGGCAGGGGGGCGGGGAACAGGGTGGCAGCGTCATCTGGTAAACACAGCCACCCCGCCCCTCCTCATGGCCACACCACGGTGTGAGGAGGGACAGACGGGGCATGGTTTCCAAAGGAAAGACCCCAGACTCTTTTGAGCTGAGAATGGGTTCAAGGCAGCAGAGTTGGCACTTCCTGTCTCCATGGCCATGGTGTCTGGTGGGCAGGCTGTGGACTGTGTCAGGGTTCCCCGCCAAGCAGGTGAGCAGCGGGTGAGACCCCGCCTGCACCCTGCTGATCAAGGTACCCCGGTGGGGGTGAAGGCTGCATTCACTAAGGGCCAGGAGAGGACACATTTTGGGCTCTATGGACTGTGCGTTCACTTGACTGTGTGTCAATAAAACTTTATTTACAGAAACAGGCAGTGGGCGGGCTTTGGCTCACGGGGGCGTGGTTTGCCAGCCCTGCTCTGTGGTCACCCACAGGTTCTCCAGAGGCAATGAAAGGCTCTGCTTTTCTCCTACTCTGTCCCTTCTCTTCCTTTTTCTCCTACTTTTTCCTGCTGTCCTTTCCTCTTTCAAATGACCGGTATCTCCTGTTGCTGCTGTGACTCGTAATGGAAGAGTTACCAGAGTCCCCCTGAAATTACACCCCCACAGATGATCTCTGGGAAAACAAACCGCTGGGCTGAACAGGAGTCAGCAGGGGCTCGGAATCTCGAAGCAGCATTACTCGCTCTGCTGAGGTTGGATTGATGGAGGGAGAGAGGGAGGGAAAGATGGACGTATGGATGAGTGGACAGATAGACATTTGAATGGAGGGAGTGATGGGTGGATGGGGGGAGAAAGGGAGGGATGAATGGATAGAGGCAGGCAGGCAGAGAGGGACGGACAGATGGATGGGGGTGATTTGTTCTGCACAGGGGTGAGTGTGGGCGGGTGGTGGTTTGGCATTGTTTGGTTCCAGAGGGTCCGTGTGGATGCGGGAGCCTGGCCCCCGAGTCTCAGCCTCTGATTCTGACATGGGGGTCTTCGAGGCTTTCTGGTCAGTTCTCTGATACCTCTTCTGGCCACTGGGCAGGGGACAGTGAGAGGGTGAAAGGCCACCTTTGGTAGGGCTGGGGCTGCTGACTGTCCTCGTTCCTGGCCCCCAGGGCCCCAGGGCAGGATGGCTCCCAGTCCTCCACCCGTGTGTGCCCAGCCCCGTGCTGGGAAGGGCCCCCACTGTGGGTGTCTGGATGGTTTTCTGAGCCGGGACAGGGTGAGGATCTGCTGGTGAAGGAAGGACAGTCCAGGCCACCGTGGTCTCCGGAGAAGACACGGAAAGGGTGGGGGTGAGGGGTATTCTTTCCTCCCTGGGAGAGGAGAAAGGGAGGGAGGCAGGGGACCTGGCTGAGGACCGGCTGTCTGTTCGGTGGGCAGGGGGGGGCTCCCGGGAAGGAGGGAGCAGGGACAGAGGTTTCTTTTCTTTGGGTTTTATCAAGTGGAACTTGAAAGGCAACATTGAACCTGAAGGTGGTTTTCTGATAACTTCCCTTTGAACTTGAAGTTTGGTTTCGATAAGCCTGGCCGGCTTACATCTCCAGCCAGGACCTCTGCCGGGGGAGGCAGTGGCTTTGAAGATGGAGCCGGTCTTTGTTTTCCTGTCTTCTTTTTCTCCTCTGCAACCCCCAACCCCGCGCTCTGGGGTGCTCGTGGGGGAACAGTAGTGAATTGAGGATGTGGTGGTTCGTGATAGCGTGATGTATCTCGGGGGGGGGGGCTGCGCTGGGGTGCAGGGATCATTTGGATTGGGGCTGTCGGCTGGGGCCGCGGCTCCTCTTCATTGTTTGCCAAACCAGCATTTAGTGAACACTTACTGCATGCAATGTACTCAATAGGCACTTTCCTCGATGTCCCCTCACCCCAGTGGCCTTGTGAGGGAGAGCCCACTTCATCCCCGTGTTACAGATGGGGAGACTGGGACCCAGGGGAGTCAGGTGCCTGGCTCCAGCTCCCCCAGGTCCATGGTGGAGTCAGGATGTGAAGCCAAATGTGCCCCATCAACCTGAACCCTCCTGCTGAGCTTACTGTGCCCGCCCATCAGGGATGCTGAGTGTTTCTGGGGCTCAGTCACTGGCCCGGGCAGCTGAGCGGATCTGAGAAGATGGACGAGGGCCAGGAACCCCTCCCAGGAAAGCACATTCCCAGGCAGACCCGCATCCCCTTCTTCAGGCAGAGGCAGGGGCTGACACTTTTGGTTTGAAGATTTGAAGACCCTCATAGGCCAGGGTGCAGGTCAAGGGTGATGACTGGTACCCTGGGCTGCGCTCCCAGCATCCTTGGGGGTGTTCATGGGAAAATGGGGTGCCTAGTCATGGGGGCTGATGCCCACCCTCCTCCCCGCTCCTCGAAGGATACACAATGGACTGTGACCTTGGGCAGGGGGCTGACCCCCAGGCGAACACAGGCTGAATGAAGAGCACAGGGTTAGCCTTCTCCTGAAGATAGCATCTGCCTGTGCGCATGCGTGTTCTCACACGCGCGTGCCGGTGTGCGCACGCGCCCTTCCCTTCACCAGCCCTGTTGACTGAACTGTGTTTTGTCACTCCTCCTGACCACCCCACAGTGGGTGGGGTGCCCAGCCCAGGCAGGTGGCACCCCTGAGGAGGCTGGTGTCAGCCTGGAAGTCAGTGAGGCCGTGGCCGTGGCTCTGGGGCTCCAGAGTCAGCCCTGCCCCCACCCTGGCCTGCACCATTGTGGGGGCCCACAGTCTGGGTATATGGGCTTCAGGTCGGGGCAGAGACCAGAGCGGAGGCCTGAGAGGCCCACTGGGGTGATCTGGGTGGTCGCATGGGCGCACCCGGGGAGGGGGGTCCCCCCGGAGCAGCCTGGACAGCCCTGGAGAGCAAAGCAACGCTGACTTCAGCAACGAGCAGGGCGGGAAGGGGCCCCAGCACCCTGGCGGTCCTCCGTGCTGGCCCCGGAACAGAGGCACAGTGCAGCCCCGCATGGGCGCCTGCTGGGGCCGGGCCTCTCTCACGCATCCTCCCCAACTCCGCCCACAGTGGCCCTGCCTCCCGAGAAGACTGACGGGCTGGCCAGCGGAGATGAGAAGAGGATGGAGAAGCCGAGCGAGTCCTGCCCGGGCTCCAAGAAGCAGCTGAAGTTTGAGGTGGGTTTCCCTGGAGAAGAGGGCTTTCTGCGGAGATGCGGGGGCCTGTCTGGAGGCGAAGGCTGCCCACCTCCTGTGTGGACGGGAGAGGGAAGGCCCAGCGTGGACGACTTGCTTCCTTGCAAGCCCTACAGGGTCTGTTTCTGGACAGGGGCCGCTGACTCCCTGGGACCATTCCATGGCGGGCACTCACCCAAGAGGCCCAGGTGGTGGGGGGGAGACACACGGGGCAGAGGTGGGGGTGGGGAGAGCTACTCAACCTGTTTGTGAGCTTCAGACCTGAGCTTTCTCTGGAGCTCAGTAGAGGGGCCGGGGAGAGGGGGGTTGGGTAGATGCTGGGTGCTCGGGCTTGAGTGTGTGTGTGTGTGTATTCAGTGTGCATGCACGTGTCATGTGCATAGACGTGTGTACTGTACATGTGGTCAGTGCATGTATGTTATATGTAGATATATGAATGTTTAGAATGCACGTGGGGACATGCACACATATGCAGGAGAGTGTTTAGTGTGCATGTATGTGTTGTGTGTAGATGTGTATGTGTGAGTGTGTTCAGTATGCATGTGGTATGTAGATTCTGTGCACACTTGAGTGTGTTCTGTGTGCAGACGTGTGTGTAGATATGTATGTACATGCATGTGCGAGGTGAGTGCTGTACCCCCTGAAACACTGCCTCAGAGAGCAGAGCGGGCACTTGGCAGGTCTCAGACAGACATGTCACACCTGGGGGAGGGCCGGCTTTGAACTTGGCGTGGCTGCTGGGGCAAGGACACCACGCTCAGTCACACTTTTGCCAGCATCCTGAGGCCAGGCACCACCCCTCTTGACGCAGGGCCTGTCCTCCTGCTGTGCCAATCTGGACGAGATGTGGAACAGGGTGGTCTGGGGTCGCATCTTACGGATCTCAGGCCACTGTGGACTCCCTTTCCCAAAACGGCCATCCTTCCTGGAACCATCTGTCTGAGGTTCAGCCTGTCCCGCAGACGCCCCACCAGTGACAGAGCTTGGGGACAGAGCCACTCTGCCCTCTCGGCCCCTGCGGCAGCCCCCTGGGGCTGTGGGAGCGGGGCCGGGCGGCCACTGTGCTGTGAGCTGCCACAGAGACCGTAGCAGCTGCTGCCGTGGGTCAGATGTTTCCGTGTGCCGGCCGGTGTCCACACTTGTATGGGCATGCCCAGGAGTGCGTGTGTGGGTGCACCTGTGGGCACACATGTACATGCATGTGTGTGTAGATGTGTGTGTAGGGGAGCTCCTAGTCTCTGGTTCAAGCTCAGGCTGAGGCCACGAAGGCCCCTCGCAGACCCCTCCCGTGTGTCTCCTTTGCCCGCGAGGACCCGGAGTTGGTGGCTTCCTGGCAGGCCACTCTGCAGGGCCGGACCGTCCCGCCTGGACCAGACTGTGGCCTCTCTCCCTAGCTGGTCTCTTGGTCATTACTCAGCAGTGTTGAGGCGGCGGCCCCGTGACCTGGCCTCCAGGTGTCCCATCCAGCCCCCGACTGACTGGCCATGTCCGTGTATTGTCTGTGTCCAGGAGCTACAGTGTGACGTGTCCGTGGAGGAGGACAGCCGGCAGGAGTGGACTTTCACGCTGTATGACTTTGACAACAATGGGAAGGTCACGCGCGAGGTCAGTGCGCCCACCTGGCCCCGGCTGCTGGCCATGCCCTGGTCCCAGGGGCGTTGGTTGTGTACCTGACTGCTGCTGCTCCCCTCCGGATAAGGGGCCTGTCCCTGCGCAGGAATGGGGACAGGAGTGGTGCAGGGTGCGGGTGTGGTGGGAACAAGGCTCCTGGGAGCTTCTGCTGGAGCTGGAGGGGTGTCCCGGGACTGCCCAGAGGAGGGGCTTCGGGCCCCAACAGAGCCCTGTGCTGCTTCCCCCTCTGTGGCCCAGAGCTCTGGGTGCACTGGGAGTGCCCAGGCCACGCCCCCCACAGCCCGTCTGTCTGCCCAGGAGCTGGGGCAGGTGGGCACACAAAGGCCACGCCCCGAGGCCCTGCAGTGGCTCAGCTCAGGGCCTGTCCTTCCTCCCCCAAACCCCCAACCCCAGTGTTCCGGGTCTCCCTCCCACACCCCTCTCCTCTCTGTGTTCCTCCACCCTTTCTCCATGCCCGTGTCTGCATCCTAAGTGCCTACTGTGTGCACCTGCCACACACTGGGTGTGCGACCACAGCGGGATCCGGGCTGACAGTTCCTGGCCTGTGGCTTTGACCGTCTGACGAGGCAGGCAGATCCCCAGCAATTAGAGGGAAATTGTAAGGTGCGACCTGTCCAGTGAAGGAAATAACAGAGCGGCATCATGGGGATGGGCGGGGTGTCCGGGGCAGCCTCGAGGAGGAGGAGGAGGCCGAGGCCCGGAGCCAGCAGGGAGGGGCCTGTGGCCGGGCCAGAGGCTTTGGGTGGAGGTGCAACAGGACCGTGGAGGGTCCGTGGATGGGATGGAACCCGAATGACTGCAGATGGACGCTGCCTCCCTCGTGCTCTGGGCCCCGGGCCCCTGCCTTCGGCGTCTGTGTTGCTGTTCCTTCCCGCTCTGCTCAGACACCCTCTCCCTCCCCAGGAGGCCCGGGGGTCGGCTTGGGCCGGTGGCAGATTTTTGCAGCCGTCTGAGACTGGCCGGCTGGCTCCTCACCCCCTGCCCCCACCCCCCGGCATGTTTGGGCTTCAGGCCCGTCGGTAGAGAGCTCGGAAGCTCTGCTGTCTCGTCACCCACCCAGTTCAGGGACAGGCGCTCTTCTACTCTGCTCTGCTCTCCAGGGCTGGAAAGGCCATACCCCTTTCTTCCTGTGGCCGAGGTTTCAGGGATGTGGGAACCGGGGAGGGGAGGCAGCGCTGAGTGGCTTCGGGGTGTGAGGGACAGAATCTCGGCACAGGTTGTCACAGAGAGGAATGTGCCAGCTCTCGGCAGGGGAGCAGGGCCGGGGCGCTGACCGCAGGCCCGGCTAGGCCCCGAGGCTCGGTGTCTTCAAGTCATCACCGTCCTATTTCCTCTGCGTCTCTTTATTATCAGGCAGGCTTTGGCAGTGGAGGGATGACAGCTGACGGTTTTAACCGACACCCCATCCCGTCAGCGGGTCCCCAAATTCAGAATGTCAGCAGACATGCCGGGACCGGATTGCGCTGGCCTCAGTGGAGTCACGTGCCTGGCCCCGAACCAGGCATTTCTGTCTGCCGTGGGTCAGTGGCACTCACAGCGGCTGGTTCTGGGTCCACATGCCGACCTCCCAATCAGAAGCAAGCGCCTGGTCACCGTCACACACTAACTGGTGCGTTAAGTCAGCCTTCCCTGCACCTGTGCCTTTGTGCCAGGAGCTGGTGCAGCCCACGGTGTTGATCTTCCAGCTGGCTGTGGCGAGGTTTGCTTGCTCTGACACCCAAATAAGCTGGGACCCTCTGGGGTCACACACATGGGGGTCCCAGGTCTGGTGCCCAATGCCTGGGGGAGGATGATGGTGGAGCTCAGCTTCCTCATCTGTAAAATGGAGACAACCACACCTCCTTCATGGGCTTTCTAAGGTGGGGGGCAGGCGTGGCCGGGCAGAGCAGCTCCAGCAAAGAAGGGAGAAGAGGGGAGAGGGGTCCTCTGTAGTCCCCAGAGGGGTGGGGTCACCGAGCGAGCCAGTGAGTCAGGGACTTGAGCCTGCGTCTCAAACTGGCAGCCCGCTCAGTCCTGGTCTCACCCCTGCTCCTGGAGGGTTTTGTCAAGAATTAAGTTAGCGCAGGCAACAGGAGTCAACGTAGGTAAGTGGGACTATGTCAGAATTTAAAACGTCCGTGAATCGAAGGACACAGCCAACAGGATGGGAGAAAATACTGGCAAATCGTCTATCTGATAAGGGGATGATATCCAGAAAACAGCATATGGAGAACTCCTAAAATTTAACATTAAAAAAAAAAGAAGTCATTTGATCAAACAATGGGCGAAGGTCTTGAATAGACATTTCTCCAAAGAAGTTATACAGATGGCCCATAAACACACTAAAAGTTGCTCAACATCACCAACCGTGCAAGAAATCAAGTCCAAACCTCCCCGAGGCCCGCCTTACCTCTGTTCAGAGGGATGCTAGAAAGACAAGCAGACGATACATAGCAGGGGCTGCTCAGAAATGGCGAACCTGGGACCCCCGTGCGTGCAGGTGGGGACGTCAGATGGTGTGGCCGCTGTGGAAAACAGGATGGGACTCCTCAGAAGGTTACACGTAGAATTCCCCCAGGATCCAGCAATTCCACGTCTGGTCTATATCCTCCCCCATTGAGAAAAGGGTCTCGAAGAGATACTTACACACCCACGTTCATTGCAGCGTTATTTACAATGGCCCCAAAGTGGAAGCCCCCCAAGTGCCCATCAACAGGTGAGTGGATGGATAAACCAGACATGTTCCACGCAAATAATGGAATAGCATCCAGCCTTAACAAGGAAGGCGCTCCTGCCACGTGCTACGTCAGGACGAACCTTGAGGACACGAGGCTGAGCGAGGGAAGCCAGTCACAAAGTGACAGATCCTGTATGATACCGTATCCGTGAGGTACCTGGAGTAGTCAGTCACAGAGACAGAAAGTCCAATGGTGGTTGCCAGGGGCTGGGGAGGAGGGGAATGGGGAATTGAAAAGACAAATTAGGCCCTGGCTGGTGTGGCTCAGTGGATTGAACTCTGGACTGCGAAGCGAAGGGTCTTTGGTTTGATTCCCTGTCAGGGCACGTGCCTGGGTTATGGGTCAGGTCCCCAGTAGGGGGCGTACGAGAGGCAACCATACACTGACGTTTCTCTCCCTCACTTTCTCCCTCCCTTTCCCTCTCTCTAAAAATAAATAAATAAAATCTTAAAAAAACAAAAGAAGAAAAGACAAATCAGTCCCCAGTATCAAAAGTTCTTAAGCTTTAACAGGAGCCGGACCCAGCTTCTCTGAGAGGCCCCTGCATTGTCGTCAGTCAATGGTGACAGCAGGTGGCTGCCACCTGCTGGGGGCGGGGCCCATGCACACACCTGCTGGGCAGGCCAGGGCAGAGCTTGTTGTCAGCCCTGCCTTGTGGTGGGGCGGCGGGTGAGGGAGGGCCGAGTCTGTGCTCAGGTAGTAGGCTTGCTGGCCAGACAGCTGGCTGTCTGTGGCCGTGACCCCTGGACGGCCAATCCTTTTTCCAGAGGCTCCCAGCATCACATCCAGCAGGAAGCTGCCCCTCAGACCCTGACCTTACATGAGCCCAGAGCACAGAAAGGCCTACTGAGGGGGCCTGGTCCGCCCCTCCCGCCCCAGCGGGGAGTCTCTGGGAGGCCGGGGGAGCGCGGACTGGAGAGCAGTGCCTGGCGAGGGGCTCCCCAAGGCCCGGAGAGAAGATGAGGTTTGGTCCGGTCCTCACAGTTTATCGTTAGGGACACACCGCTTTTCTGTTCCTCAGTCAGAGACCTGCAGAGGTGCTGTGCTGTCCCCCTGCCCGCCTCTAAGTTCCCCCGCTGCTTTGTTCTCTGTGGGGACAGTGCCCATCGCTGGAGTGTCCTCTGGTGCTTGGCCTGCACTGGACAGCCCGGACGTCTGGGGCACGGGCACCCCAGGGCAGCTCGTGACTTGAGATGAGACTTTTCCCAGGCCGGTTCCACACAGTCTCCCTGGGGGGCCCTGGCTGTGAGTTGCTCAGCAAGGTTTTCCGTGGTCTCCCTGCCCTTCCCTCTCCGCGCTTCTAGGGCCCCTCCCACACAAACCTCCACGTCCACATCACTGCCTGAGGCTCGGCTTTGGGGAGCCCGAGGCGCTCAGCGTTGCGGGTTCAGTAGGCCCTCTGCTTCCCGTTGGAAAGGCACCGTGGCTGAAGCCCGTGTGCTTTCTGCTTCCTGCCCCACCCCCAGGACATCACCAGCCTGCTGCACACCATCTACGAGGTGGTCGACTCCTCCGTCAACCACTCCCCCACGTCCAGCAAGACGCTGCGCGTGAAGCTGACCGTGGCCCCCGATGGGAGCCAGGGCAAGAAGAGCGTCCTTCTCAGCCATCCCGGTGAGGGGCGGCGGGTCCCAGGTGCATGCGCTGGGCGCAGCTTGGTGGCCAGGCGGGATTGGAGCCGCTCTGGCAGGGGTAGGGTTTAGACAGGGAAGGGATTCTGAATGGAAGGCCCCTGAGTAAGCAAAGCATGGGGCTGGGCCTGTGTGCGCAGGCAGCCACCACCGAGGCCTGGCTTGTGATGGGGTGGGTGGGCAGGGCCTTGAAGCCCAGACAAGGAGTATGGAGAGGAGGTCAGCAGGACAGGGAGCTGGGAGACCCCTCTAGCAGTCCTGGCTCAGAACCCCGGCCACAGAGCTATGGAAAGGCAGCTGGTAGGGCCAGCTTTCTAAGGGGCCAGGCAGCTTGGAAAATCCGGGCATGGCCAGGAGGCCAGCGGGCATGGGATTGAGCTGCGTGTCACCAGGCTGTTTCTGGGGCGGGCCTCAGACCTGCAGACCACCAGGCCCAGAGCGGAAACCAAGCCGGCAGAGGAGCTGCGCAGCTGGGAGAAGAAGCAGCGAGCCCCACTCAGGTAGGGTGCGATCAGGCGGAGGGGCAACCCATGCAACTGAGCACAGTTTAGCACCGGCAGTGTGCCTGAACCAGGGGTGGGGTGTGCACCTGGGCAGGTGGCTCCCATCCGTGCTGTCTTCAGTGGGCAGTGGTTTGGAGGCAGACGCCCAGATTCCAGCTCTTTAAAAATCACTAAGGATGGGTTTGCGTCACTGAATCCAAACGCATTCCACCAGCTCCGTTTTGGAATTCTGCATTTGCTGGGTTTGCAGAGGTGCTCACCGTGTATTATTTCTCATGTGTTCTGTTTGGGGTCTGGGTAATTCCGCAGTATTCGGTTTCTACAGGGAGACGCATGAATGTTCGCACCGAGTGACATAGAGACTCGGGGACCGTCTCATCATTTAGGGCATTGTTTAGAATCGGTCATGAAGAACCTCTGTTTTCAGGCTTTGGGGACTCGGAGCAGTGGATCAGCCTGCAGTTACCGTTCACCTGGTGTTATTTCCTTAACTTCAAGGAAGGGAGGGAGGGTGGGAAGAAAAGAAAGAGACTTTTAAAAAAGGCATCCAGTGCAGAGTGATACGAAGTAACAGTGCTGGCTGAGACCAGGATAGTTACTGCCTTTTGTGGAAATGGGAGGGAGAAGTCTGGGTTTTGGGAAGCAGCCCACAGGGCCAGAGAGAAGGGCGATGCAGGGACTCGGCATGACGTGGGCAGGAGGCCGACAATTGGAGGTGCCCAGGCTGGCTGCAGGTGTGCAGTCTGTGCTGGGGGGCAGGGGAGCAGGGAGTGGGGTGCAGCCAGGTCGCAGAGTTCCTGCCAGGGGAGGGACAGAGAACCCAGAATCCACCCCTCTCCTGCCCCCGGCCCCCAGAGGAAGGGTCCACTCTGGGCTTTGGAGCAGGAAAAGGAGTCCACCAGCCTCAGTGTGAATGTTCTGGGGGCTTCTGCTGCCCACAGCCCTTGGGGAACCAGGCAGGAGTGGCAGGCACGTGACTCGAAGCCTGGCTTTGGGACATCCGTAAGTTTTGGTCAGTAACCCTTGTGCCTTGCTCCGGGTCTGTTCAAGCAGAGCCCCTCTCCAGTCCTCCCAGAAGGCCCAGGTAGGCCAGGCAGGCATCTGCCTCCACTGACAGGAAGAAGCGGAAGGAATGGGCCAGAGTCCCCCCTGTCCCCGCCAAAGCCCAGAAGGAAATTAACGAAGGGTCCGGAAGGACCTGTCCTGTGGCTTCCCAGTTGGCCCTGGAGCTGCCCCACGGGGGGCCGGGCCCACCCACTCCCTGCCTTGGTCCTGCCGCAGGTTCCAGGGAGACAGCCGCCCGGAGCAGCCTGGCTGCCAGCACCACTGTGTGGACGAGAACATCGAGAGGAGAAACCACTACCTGGATCTGGCCGGGATAGAGAACTACACCTCCCAGTTTGGGCCTGGTGAGGCGGGGCGCGGGCGGGGGGCTGGGCTGGTAGGTGGGTCAGGCTGGCAGTGGTCCCCGGCCCCCTGGGCTGGGGGCAGGCGCAGTGTGGATGGGACAAGGTCACAGATGTCAGTGGAGGAGATGACCCTGAAAGCATTAAAAATAGGGAAGTGCTGGAACCACGCACAGAATGAACCCAGTCAAACAGCATCTGAGGGCTTAAAACACCACGGAAACCGACAGTCCCGTGCCTCACCCCGCCCACCCTCCCCTGTCCCTCTCTCTTGGCTGTTTCCCACAGGGAGACCCCCACTCCACTCAAGCCAGTTGCTGATCTCTCTTCCTCCGCCCTGGCACCTTAGCTCTCACCAAACTAAATGAACACCGGGCTCCGGGGAGTTTGCCCAGCTCCCCGCTTCTCCCCCCCAGGCTCCCTTCTTCTGTGGGCTACCCCTGCGCACCCGTTAGGGCTGTACCTGCCTGCACCTGCCCGTCCCACTGAGACCTCAGTCGTCAGCCTCTGTCTCCTGCTGTCTCCCAGCTCTGTCCAGGAAGAAGAATGGGTTTTAAAACCCTAGCAAAGAGATAGTTCTTCCCACTTAGCAGACAGCGAAGTTCCATTCTGGAGTGGTCTCATCCATGGCCTGGGGGAGGCAGGGGGAGGGGGCAGTAGGGGCTGGGGGGGTGCACTCTGAGGAAGCATGGCTGGCCGCTGAGGCTGGCCGCTGAGTCTCGGGGAGCTGGCACCTAGCAGTTTCCAGGGCACAGGGTGGCACTGCTGACAGTAGGTGCCCCTCAACTCTCTGTTGCTTGGTTCCTAGGCTCCCCGTCCACGGCCCAGAAGTCCGAACTGCCCCCCCGCACCTCCAATCCCACGCGGTCCCGCTCCCACGAGCCAGAAGCCGTCCACGCCCCACACCGAAAGCCCCCGGGTGCGGACCCAGGCTCCTCCCACGGCCCCGACGCCCCCTTTGCCAAGGTCTCGGAGGCCCAGCAGCGGCTCCGGGGCGCCCAGGACGGGAGCAAGCACTTTGTGAGGTCCCCCAAGGCCCAGGGCAAGAGCGTGGGTGTGGGCCACGGGGCCAGAGGGGCAAGAAGCAAACCCCCTCTGGGACCCACAGTCCCCGCAGCATCCCCGTCCACCCACCTGACCGTTGGCGCGGCCCTCCTCCCCACCCTGGCCCCCCTTGGCCACAAGAAACACAGGCACCGAGCCAAGGAGAGCCAGCAGGGGGGCCGGGGCCTGCAGGGGCCGCCGGCCGTGGGCAGCGCCCTGGCGGGGCGGGACCAGGTGCGGGAGCTGCCCACCGTGGTGGTGTATGACGGCCCGGCCGGCCAGGCGGTCCAGAGACACGAGCATCGCCACCACCACGAACACCACCACCACCACCACCACTTCTACCAGACCTAGGCCCTTGGTGCCCCGCCGCGAGGGGCCCTGCCCCGGGCCCCCCAGGCATTCTTATTCTATTAATTATTGTTATTATGACGATTATTGTTATTAATAATGATTGTTACTCCACTAATATTCCGCTAGGCTCCATGTAGAAGATCTGTGGAAACATAGAAGTCAACTTTTATTTATAAGTGTGGGGACTGCGCGACTCCCCCAGGGGGCGACTCTGAGTTCGGCAGCGGCCTGCAGCCAGCAGAGGCTCCCTCGGTTCCGGCTGTGGTTTCCACGCAGGCCCACACCCTACCCAGCCCCGCCCCGCTCCGCTCCGGGAGCCCCTCAGCCAGAACTCCGCCCCACCCCCCATCTCTTCCAGAGACCCTCAAAATCTCCGAGAAGATAAACAGCTGCTACCTCTTAGTATTATTCTGATTTTATTTTGCCCTTAACTGACTGTAACACGCTCCAAGGATTTCGGCGGACTGTGGGCGCGCCCCCTTCCTGGCTGCTGTGTTTTCACGTCCCGACCTGGGACCCCTAGCTGTCCTTTCTGGAGTTCTCGTTCATGCCTTTCCAGGGCGGTCATGCCCTCGCCCCAACGCGTCCCTCTTTCCCGCCGAGCACCACGGGAACATACACTTCTCCTTCCCCTCCTTCTCCTTCTCCTTCTCCTCGCTTCTGTAGAAAGATACACTTTTAAAGACTGCCCCCGAAACCAGCCTTCTCACGGGGGGAAAACTCCGCGGAGGGATCCGGCCAGACGAACCAGCGGGGGGTTTCCCGGGGTGGGCAGTGGGGTGCGCCGCTTGTGCCAGAAGATGGGGAAGCCTGAGTCCTGCCCTCGGCAAATCTGTGCGTCCTGTTGGGGTTCGGCGACAGCTCTCTGTCTCTATTGCTAGATGCCATCTGTCCATTTCTATGTATCTTTCTATAAATACACACTCTCAGGTACCTTTGCGCCTGTGCTGAAGTCAGTGTTTGCTTCTGTGGACATCTCCTGGGCCCAGCAACTCCGGCTGTCTGCCTTTCTGCCGCTTGGCCTCCCGGCATCGTCCCCTTTTCCAGAGCCTCTGCTTTGGGTTCAGTGTGGTTGGTGAGGAGTTATTTTTAAAGATAGTGGGCTTAGTTGTTGTCACCATATATTATTGGATTAGGGACAGTGTGCCTGGGACTGGATTAATACATTTGATCCTCAGGACAACCCTACGAGGCAGCCAATGGAAGCTCAGAAGGCATGGCGGGCTCAGAGAGGTTGAGTGACTTGCTTGAGATCACACAGCAGATGGCAGAGCTGGGATTCTAGTCTTCCCTGTGGCCCCTTAACCACTGAATGTTAACCACTGTGTTTGGGCTTCTGACACCCAGCTGTTGGCAATGCAGCCAAGGGAGGGAGGGAGCAGGGAGGCCCCCATGCCAGCGTGCTTTGCAATGGTGTTGGGGCTGCTGGCTCTCTGGGCTACACCATCCAATGGAAAAGGATCTTGCACTAGGGGACCAGGGGAAGATACTGATTGGATAGGCTCAGGGCCAATACCGATCTCTGGGCCAATCACTGTGGCCCAGTGGGGTCACATGGCTAACCTGTGGCAAGGGAGCGAGGTATGCACCTGAGAGGGAGGAAAGGTGCGGAGTGGACAAGGGCTGTGGACGCCCCAGGCCCGGCGTTGCTGCAACCATGGAAACGAACCAGGAATTGGGTCCACGAAAGGAGCTCTCTGTGGCTAGGCGGCTGGAGAGCGTTTCCTCAGCCTCTGACGGGAGCCCCCATGCTGGCTCCCCCACCCCCGCTGTCAGGGTTCTGTTTCATGCTGACTGGGGTTTTAGAAATTTAGGAAAGCAGTAACGTGCACATGTAGAAGATTCAGACATTGGGTTGGCCAAAAAGTTTAATTTTTCCCCCTGTAAAATAAGACACGTTTTTCATTTTCACTAATAACTTTATTGATTTGGCTACTTTGAGTATATCAGCTATCTCCTGTTATTGGCTGCTAGTGGGTAGAGGCTGGGGGTGCTGCTGAACATCTTCCCATGCATAAGACGGCCCCGCAGCAAAGAATTATTTGGCCAAAGCGTCAGTAGTACCAAGAAACTTTGCAAACCACTTTTGACACAGTCGATCAGTCACAGCACCTTCCTCATACACCATGCAGATCTTTTTTTTTTTTTTTGCGTTTCGGTTGTGTTTTTTTACCTTTCTTGAAATCACAAAGCAGAATATACCGACAGTGTTGTGTATTTTCTTCCATCTTCCATTTTAAAACGGCTGCACAAAAATTCACCAATTTTGATACTTTCTAAAAAATAACGCACAGCTGATAGGGGACAGCTGTCACAATCCGATCTAACAAAACTGTTTCGACAACTCAAGACATTCAAGACAACTAAATGCTACCAGAGCCATCACACAGAAAAAAACGAGGAAACTTTTTGGCCAATCCAATAGTACAGAGGTGCACCATGAAAAGGGGTCCCCCCCAGCACCTGCCAGGGCTGTTCACTGTGGCGGGGGCTTGGGTTCAGGTCCGGACTTCCTCTCTGGGTGCTCTGTGATGCTGTACACTGTCCCTCTGCGGCCTCAGTTTCTCCTTGATAAAGGGGATCCCCACCCCCCCGGACGTACGGTGAAAATTCAGTGAGCTAAAGCTGTGCCTCGCCCTTGGGAGCGTTATCCGAGTGTTAGCTGCCATTATTTACAAGAATAAATGCATTTATATAAGCTATCTCCCCATTTACATTTGTTCGTTTTTAAAAATACTTTTTTTTTCTTCAGAGCAGTTTTAGGTTTACAACCAAATTGAGAGGAAGGCACAGACTATCCCCTGCCCCAACACTCACATCACCTCCCCGTTATCAACGCCTGGTGTGTTTTTTTCTTTTTACCGAGAATGAATCTAAACTGACACAGCACGGTCACCCAAGCCCATGGTTTGCCTTGGGATTCACACTCGGGTTGTACATTCGTGGGTTTGAACAAATGGGTGGTGACATGTGTCCACCTTCATAGGACAGAAAATTTTCAGCAAACACGAAACATCCTCTGGACTCTGCCTGTTTGCCTCTCCCTTACCCCCCCCCCAACTCGTTCACTTAAAAAACTGTTTCAAACGCCATTTGAAACAGAAGATTGTACAACAGTCACTGTGGGCTCCTCCAGGTTTTACAAACGCTGACGTTTCGCAGTGTTTCTTTCAGATCTATTTTTAAGAAAGAAAACGTTGCAGCCACTGCCTAATCCGCCTGCCTCCCGTCCCACCCTTTTATTTTTTACCCAAGGAGCGGCATCGTATTCATACTTAGGCCCTTTCTCTCTGCGACCTCCTGTCTTGGGAGGTCTGCCTCCCTGGGTCTCGGGGCTCTGCCCCCTTCTCTCTAACAGCTGCTCAGACTCCTACGGCTCTCAGCTGCCCCTCCCCCTCCCCGCAGGCACGTGGGGCTCACCCAAGGGCTTGGTGACCGCCAGCAGGAGACAGCAGCCACGCAGTGCTGCCGGCTCAAGAGCACGTGTGACTTCGGTTTTGATGCTATTCTCACTGACCTCTTGGAGAAGCTGTGCCAAATGATTAGAAGTTGAAGGAAGAAGAGAGAGACAAGGAGGGGGAGGGCGGGGTGGGGGTGACTGCAAGGAGTCAACCCTGCTCCCCGGTGAGGCTTCCAGCCCACTTTTCCGCAGCTGGGGTGGATGAGTTTGGTGCAGTTGGCAAATCAGCTGACGCCCAAGCCAGAGGCGATGCCGCTGCTTCCTAGCCCCTGAGCTCTGAGCGCCCGGCTCATCGGGGGCACAGAGGTCGTTGGGGGGGCTGGACTCTGGCCTCACACCCACCTGCACACTAGCACTAGCTGGTGTCCGGCTGCCCCTTTCCGCTGACCTGTCACTGGGCCCTGAGGACATCTGGCGTGTGGTTTGCAGCTCCCTCGGCCCACCCGCCTCTCCTGGGGGGGTGCGGGGGGTGCACTTCCAGCCCGGCCAAGCCAGTGACACTTTTCAGGCACAGGAAACAGCCAGGAGCAGTTTCTTTTGCAGCCCTTCCCCCTCTGCATTTACATGTCCCATCATTCGGGCCGGAGGGAAGGCTTTTCCAGAGCAGCGGGACGGGGGAGGCTGTGTGTACTTCCAGTGGCATTTCTGTCACACTCATAACCCGGCTTCTGAGACACCTGTCAACGCTCGGGGGAATGAAGGGGGACCCCTGAGACTGTGCTTCCCGTCAGTGAGCTATGATGCGCCTCCCTTCTTACCGCGCATTGAAGGGAGGGCTGCCTACCACCCAGCAGGCACCTGGGCCCTGCACGCCCCAGCGGCCCCTGGGCGGCTGCGCCCTGGCCCAGCTCAGCCCCGGGACCCGTCCCGGCTCTTCTGGGTCCCCAAGGCTCATGGGCTCGGCCCTTTCTCCCGAGGTGCGTGTGGCTGTTTCACCGTCAGTACCAATGGCCCAGCCACACACTTTACTGACTCCTAAATACGCGGTGTGCTGAGCACCCTTCCCGAGGGGTTCACGTTGTCCCTTCCCGCAGTCGTGGCCTTGTCTGGGGCTCTGATCTGGCTCTTGGTCTCGTCACCTTCTCCCAAACCAGCAGACCTCCGAACCGGAGTCCTTGTCTGAGGGGCTCACGCCTGTGAGTAATTTTGCTGGTTAGTGTACCGCCCTGCGAAAGCTTTCGACAACAAGCAGCTGCCTTGAGCAGGAGCGGGGAGCTGGGGGTGAGGCCCATCTTCTAGGAGCCGAAGTGACTCGGGAGGACCTGGCACTGGCTGGCCTAGCCTCCCTTCACCAGCTCACTGACCCGCCAGCCCACGGATGCCTTCTCCTCTCCACGTCCCTCCCACAAAGTGGAAGAGCCCCACACCTGCACCTGAGACCGCCCGATGTGAGTGACCTCGAGGGGCGTGAGCTGGGGGAGGTCCAGCCGGCATTGTCCTGCTCCGGGTGCCTCGGAAGCACCTGGGGAGACCATGCCGGGGCCTCCCCTCGGATGATGCTGAGATGCTGGCCTGACATGTGGTCCAGGCATCCGGATGTCGCAGGCCCCCCGGTGCCTTCCTGGGCAGCCGGGCCAAGAACCCAGCGCCTTGAGTCTCCCCCACATGGCCTCAGAGAGCCCTTGAAGGGCGTTCCTGACTTTGAGAGTGACAACATTCTCCCAGGGAGCCTGTTAAAGGCAGGCACCCAGGCCCACCCCCGGAGTGAGATGACTTGGACCCGGGAGGGGGGTGGCTGGGGCCAGTGCTTCTCACAAGCTCCCCCTGCAGGAAGTAGGGCTTGGGGGGTCCCTGTGGCTGAGAACCCAAAGGGCTCCGCCTATGGGAAGTAGGGAACACAGGGCCCAGCCTCAAGCAGAATATGTATGAGGGTGTAGGAGAGGGAGAGAGAGTCCCCCCTGCCAGCCCCTGTCCTGCCTGGGACCTCCACAAGTCTGCATGAGGTTGCAGCGAGTGGCCATGACCGCACCAGTGGAGGGGACCAAAGTTCCCGCAGTCCTCCGTGTGTGAGCTGAGTTCTCTTCCAACTGCCCAGCCCCCCGGGGCCCTCCTCGACCTGCCCGGCCTCTCCATGTGATGAAGTGACGGAGCCCCGAAGAGAGCCAGCTGTAACGTGGGGAGACTCCCAGGGGTGCCCTTCCACAAGGGCGGGTCCAGCTAACCCCTCCCTCCCGTGGCCCTTTAGGGAGACCGTGCTAGTGGCCTCTTTCCGGTCTTCCCACTTTGCTTTGGGGCCCTTGCTCGCTGGGGAGGTGGCCCAGCCCGGCCTGGGGGACCTGGGGCTTGGGGCCACCACCAGCTGCCCTGCCCTGCTGTGCTGGAGACTCAGGCTTGGTTCCGGAGACTCAGGGTGCCCCGCTCCTACTGGGACCTGCTTTGGGGGTGATGTCTGGGCAGAGCCTTCGAAGGGTCCTTCCCAAGCCCCCATGTCCAGAGGTGTGCAGGGAGGGGAGAGGAGGCTTAGGAGAAGGAGTGAGGTACAGGCAACCAGAGGGGCGCGCAGGGGTCCCTGGAGGAGCCCTGGCAGAGGACAGAAACCCTGACCTCCAGGGCCACTGCTCGGCTCTCAGGGTGACAAGCAGTGTCGGACCCCAAGCACCAAGAGGCTTACCAACCTCCACCCCCACACCACCCTGAGCGGGAAGTTTGACTTCCTTCTCCACTAAAATAACTGTTTTCTAGACATTCTGGATGGCACAGTTCTGGATACGCCCATCCAAGCTGATCTTTGATATTTTTTCCTTTTGAACCAGGCCCCACTTCCGGGAGCCGCCCTCATTGGTGCCCACCCTCGGGGCCGTTCACGGGGGTCAGCGGCATCCTGGTGGGTGCATCTCCTTCCCTCCGGTCTGCAAAGTTTGTGTGGACCCCGTGTGCCTGTCTCCTTCGGGCATGGCACGTAGTAGGTGGTCAGGAAGTGGAAGAGAAGGAATGAAAGCTAAAGGAGGCTGGAGGGAGCGGAGGGAGGATTTCCCATCCGTTACTCAGCTGGCGGGTGCACGGCCCCCTCCTGCCTGCCTGTCCTTGACTGTGGACTTGCACGAGGCAGCCACCCTTCAAACAGAAGTTGGACAAAGCCACGCAGCCTCACCAACTTCTAATTTCACTAAATCAAAACATAAAGAAAAACTACAGTGTCTTACTGTGTTGATGCAAACCGAGAACTTCATTTAGCTTTATTTCCAAAGGAGAAAGTCTCCGCGTGCTCACGTCCCTCACACTCTGGCCAGATGCTCCTGGTATTGGTGAACTTACACCTCCCATTGGCCAGACTGGAGAACCGAGGCTCATGGGGCTGGGGGTGCAGAATAAACTGTCTCTCTCACCCGGAGCTGAGCCCAGTCCCACTCTCAGCCCGTTTCAGGCTGTGGCCTCAGCTGCCCACTGGGGGACAGGGGGACAGGCTGGCACAAAGCACAAACATACAAAAAACGTGGCACTGAATAGACAGGACACGTGCCAATGACCTGAGAGCAGAAGCAGGGAGATGGGGCCACACCAAGTATCACCTGGGGACACGTGTGTGAGGGGTGCACGAAGACCCGTGACCACGAACGCACTGCGAGTCTTGATTTGGGGGTTCCAAAGACATCTGAGAGGGCAGGTGAATTCACAAATAATCTGTGACTGATCCGGAGGGCCTGGGAGGGCTGCTTTGGGCCTTTGGTTGTTTAGTGAGCATCTGTCCCTACTAAAGCCCGACTATGGTCACCGAAGTTTATTTTGTCATCTCAGAGGCTCAGCGTAGAGAGGTGATTGGGGGGTTGGGGATCTGCTGAGCGACCGAACTGCGCGTTCGGGGCCTCCCACCTGGCCCCAGGCTTTCAGCACTGCTTTCAGCCCTGGGCACAGCCCCTCGGACCGGATTCATCAGGACAAACTGGGAACCTGGAATGTGCGCATGCAGGGAGGGGGTGTGCCTGGGCTCGGCCTGGGGGCTCTCAGCGCAGTCCAGGTCCCGGGTGACGCTGAGTGGCTCAGTCCCCAGCTAGATCCTTTCCAGATGCAGAGGGGGCCCTGGCCATCTTGAACCGAAGTCATCTGACCCATTTCCTCTGACTCTGTCCTCAAAGAGCAGCATCTGATTGTGATTTGGCTCAGAAAATCCTGACCAGCATAGAACATTCTGGAGTGGTCCGTGTGACCTTTTCCCCTCCTTCTTTCTTTCCATCCTCCCTCCCTTCCTTGTGGAGAAAGGATTTGGGTA